GGCCTTTGTTGTAAGAATAGCTATTGAATTGAAATTATTTTATAAAAATTTAATTACAACCTAAATGTTACATGAGGAGGAAAGAGAGTCGCCCCGGTTTGACATCATCATGCTTGATATTTTGCAAATTTATTTAAACATTAACTAGTTATCATAAATTATAACTCATTACTCAACTAAGCTATACTATCGAATTATGTGGAGTGCCCATTCTGCTTCAGATCAACGTCTCTTAGTTTTTCGTGAATTCACCGTCTTAATTGTTCTTCATCTTGGGCTTCCCAGCCTCCATGATAAGCCTTCCTAGACAGTAAGTCCCAAAAATCCTATATTGAGGCTCACAACATGCAGTATGATCCAATATTTTGAATGAATTTGTTTTCCACCAATATTGAATGATATATTGGTGTCTAGCATCTTCGACAATGTTTTTTGAATCGTGCAAAAAGGAATTGGAGTCGATTCCGTTGGAATTAGTTGGTATTGAAAAATTCTATGGAAGTGATATTTTGCCATGAGCGATCCAGGTTATGGAGTATCAAGAGGGACGAAGTAAGACTCTACAAATGATTGGATTCTACTTATTCTACATAGAGATACATGGCATAAGCTGAGATCTATGATGTCTGAATGTATATTTCTATTTTGTTAAGCTTACGGTGATTCTCGAGATATTTGAGAAGTTTTCTATTTATTTACTCTATCACTTTGTTATTGTCAGACTATACCTAGAACTGTATTCAATTAAAGAATAAGAAACAGAAGCTTTGCCTGTCTATTTAAAAGTTTGTGATATTAGGAGTCGCTTGCTCTGCTCAAATCAGGAACAAACAATCGTTCGTCTCTTCATTTCTCTAAGGCTCCACAAACACAAAACCACGTTAAACAAATAAAAGTTTTAATGTCTCATCACAATTCCAGTGTCCAATTACGAAGTAAATGAAGCAATTAGAAGCGCGCCCGAAATGCTGTTCTTGTCACGTAAAACATTTCAAACCTACTCCAATTAAGTCTGATGTAATTGCTTGGTAGACAGCGTCGGCAGCTTCGATCGTGATTTGTTTTTCTATCATCAACGATGCGAGAATATTGACGGTAATCGAGAGAAAGAAACGCGGTTCTGTAATGCAATGGAGTTACCTACTATAGTTTAAATAGATATTTTAAATAGATAAGCCTGGTACTTTTTTTATTTTAAACGTTTGTATTCGATGCAGGTTTAGTATAATAGAGGTAAACTTTCAACACAACAGTACTGTTTAAATACCATCCAGGGGACCTTTACCTCGAAAACCTGAAAAATGTGAGACCCTTTAGAAATGTTTAAACGACGCCCTTAAAAGAGCAAAAACAAAATCCGGATTATTCAAACACCTCACCAGACAGATTCAAAGATCTCACAAAGCCTATAAAAACGATATTTTGTGAAGGTTTGGGTTATTATTTTTGGTTTCTTGTAGTGAGAACTCAAACACCCATACAATGCTACAATTTCGCGTCGAACAGAAAATGTTCCTCGACCGATATTTTCTAAACGGGCACCAACTAGCGTTAGTTCAGCGCCGATGATGGATTTTAACTGTAGCCTTGTATAATAAGGTAAAGTTAGTGTTAAACATTCTTTGATCATCAAAAACTTACTTATTGAGTAAAAAAAGGGTATCTCTAATTTTTTAACATTTAAATTACACAGAAAGCACTGCCTTTTTGTTTGAACATCACATCAGAAGATGACATCATCGTCCTTGTTGGCACATGCGCCTTCTTATCGAAATTGTCTACAACCATTTTGCTTAGATGTGGCCTGAATTATATGAAAACATCATTTAATTTCCATATTCAATACACAATTGTCTGGCATGGACCTTTGATTACATACAACAGTGGTGTTAAGTTATATGACCTAGGGGGCTAACTTTGATCACCCAAATACGAGTATGCGACCAGGATTGATCTCATGCACTGAGCGGGTTGTATGACATGTTATTATGTAATTTTAGACAGGATGAACTCGGTCACCATGTCGCAATATCGAGCACCAGCGGCTGTCACTCATTGACCAATTTCAGTTTCAAAGTACCTATAGATATTGCATCCAACCCAAAATCTACATCAAACAGTGACATGAGGTAGATGTATTCTTTTTTCAAGCGTAGGTTTACTCAGCCTCTTAGGTCATACATTCAGAAGTCTCCTTAATATGGCCCCATTGAATATTGGCATTCAATTAGGTAACACCCTGTATACTGCGTCATCACAACAACGCAGCACGTATCTGAGGTAGAAGTAGGTTGATGCTCACAACTCGTTTATGAAGCCGTGTAACTTAATCTAAATGATGAAATATGAGCTTTTCAATTAAATGTTCACCCTCAGGTCGGTCCAGGACCAGGGAAGGGATTCATCTGGGTATACACTTACATGATTGTAAACTACGTGAACTTCCAGTCTGAAAGTTCTGGTTTAGTATTACTCCCCCGCTGAAAATCCATCTGCAACTTCGAGACGTGTTGGTAATTTAAATAAATGGGAAGTTTCTCTGTTACATCGCGAAGTGCAATGAGGAGTTATATTACTCCGAATTGGTTAGTTATTTTTGTTGGCAACAGTTTTCTGTAATAGTAGTTTACGGCCATCTCTTCTAAAATACCCATATAAAAACTTGTTTGGCTTGTACTTCAGAAGTAAACTGTAGTTACAACGAAAACGAGTAACTCTACCACAAGTGTTACACAGCGGGAGCATCATAGGGATTAAAATGCAGTTCTAATTCAATGCTGTCCACCTTTGAATCGGTCTGTAACTCAGCCTGACATTAGAAGATATTGCAAATCATACACCGTTTAACTGAATCAGTCACGTGTAATTATGGAAAACGTAATGTTTTTGGATGATTAGTGATGTTTTCATTATGAAAGTCAAGTAACTCACCAGTTTGCCTATTGGCGATTTTGTTACTGCGTAATTTCAGTAACTGTTGCTGTGATTTTATACTAAGTGACATATAAATCCGAACACCCAGTTTAAATGGTTTTATTTTAATAAAATTTTGTATAAGTACTTAATGAAGCATAATAAGTAAATGATAAAAATGCTTTAAAGCCCTTTGACCTTTAATAATGTGTGGATGCACCCTGATGTGCTACGCATTCTCCAACGCGCCTAGGCATGCTTCTGATCAGGTGGTCAATGTCCTCCTGTGGTATCTCATTCCAGGCAACCACCAACTCCTCTCGAAGTGCTTCTAGAGTCTGAAGAGGACGTTGCAAATTGAGCAATCTCCTACCCATCATATCCCACACGTGCTCAATTGGGGATAAGTCGGGAGATCCTGGTGGCCATGGTAACAATGTGACATCATTATATTGAAAGAAGTCTATTGTGACTCTTGCAACATGTGGTCGGGCATTATCTTGTTGGAAAGTTGGATCTGCCAGGGTGTCAAGATAGGGTTAAAGATGGGGTTCTATAACTTCGTGGATATAACGCTGCGCGTTCATGTTACCTCTGATGAAAATTAAAGGTGACCTGGAACCATAAGCTATAGCACCCCAAACCATAACTCCAACAGTGTGATGAACATGTCTTTCAACAAAAAACTGTGGATTCCTCCTTTCACCACGTCGCCTTCCAAGCCTGGCACTAAAGACAATACTGTTCCATTCCTGATCCCAGAGTGACCGTTGTCTGCACCACTCAAGGCGATTACGTCGGTGTTCTCGAGTTAAAGGGAGGACCCAGTGTGGCCGGTATGAAAACAACCAAAACTTCTCATTCGTCGGTAAACACTTCGCATGCCAATAGGTCTTCCGTGTTCTGCAAACCATTCATTTGCAATGGACCTGGTAGTGGAGAAACGGTCCCTTAAGGCCAATAATCTTAGGCGGCGATCTTCACGGTCTACGGCGGCGTCCAGTGCCCCTTGCTCTTTGCGTACGGCCTTCTCGAAGCCATGCCTGACAACACCTAACCACAGTGTCTACACTTCTTTGCACTCTAACTGCAATTGCCCGAAAAGAAAGTCCAGCTTCCCGAAGTCCCACTATACAGCCCCTATCAAACTCACTAAGTTGACGAAATCGTACAGGTCTCCGTACTCTAGGCATCGTAACCGATCGTAAAGGATGTCAAGAACCAAAATCCGCCAACGTTGATTCTTTACTGCGGCTGAAATATTCATTTTTAGAGCGTTAGTGAATTAAAAAAAAGCAGTATAAAAACCGGAATGTCCAACTGATAAGGCTGAAAATTTTTTCACTTGTTATTTACAGTAAGATAAATACATTCACCAACTCTTATTAAAATAAAACCATTTAAACTGGGTGTTCGGATTTATATGTCACTTAGTATAATTTAAGAGAAGATGCAGTAAATAATACTGGTCTTGACGTCACTCTCCTGCCATGCAGTGGCAAAACGGCCAATAGACTATTTGATCATAGATAATGTTTATCTCCAAATAAAAGCTTTATACTTCGAGGAAAGCAGTATTTTTCCGATATCAATAATAAAATTTCTATTGCACTTTTTGTAGGAAAAAACTACATACTCCTTGGAGTAATATGAATTGCGGTGTTGTGATACAATGACGCCTTTAAACGGGCAATATTGTGACAATTAGCGCCATCTGTTGGGCTACGTAGAAGAATGGACGCCATCCATAGCCAGGTTCGTGTTTCAATCCAAGATGCCAGCGACCGGATGAAGGAAGCTTATGACGTTAATGCCAAAGACCGGAGGTATGACAAAGGTGATACGGTTTGGCTTTACGACCCAAAGAGACGAAAAGAGCTGTCGCCTAAACTTCAATCATCCTGGGTCGGCCATATGAAGTTCTGGAGGCCATCAACGATGTTCTCTACAGGATTCAGAAGGCACCACGCGGTAAAGCCCGAATTGTACATTTCAACCGCCTTGCACCTTATGATGGAAACAACGAACATCTGTTTACCACTTCACCGGAGTGAGCCCTGGCACGCTGAGTGGCTCAAGACTTGCGAATGTCGAGAGGTATAGCAAAGGTCTTTCTTAGAAAGTTTGTAAGAGTTCACGAGCTGCGACAATCTAACCCGGAAGTCGGAGAAGTACTCCTGATAACTGAAGAGGGTACCAACCGAAAGATCTTCTATCTAGTTACCAAGAAAGCTTCGTATCAGAAACCGAATTACGAAGATGTTTGGAACGCTTTGTGTTCGCTTAGAGAAGTTTCTTGCCGAGGACCTGAGAAAACTGGCAATACCTAAGCTGACATGTGGACTTGACAACCTGGACTGGAGAATCATTCGAAACATGCTTGAGGTAGTCTTCCGGTATACAGGCATTCGATTTCTGGTATGTTGTCACAATCCTAGACGGCTACCTGCTGGTAGAGGTAAGAGATTGTTACTTCTTCAAGAACTCCTACTGCAAGAGAGGGCCGTCGTGCCGATATCGACATCCACCGCTAGTAAGATTATTCCGGGACGGAATGACCTTAGGGGGGGGCAGTGTGACAAATAGCGCCATCTGTTGGGCGAGTCTCCTACTCGCCAGAGCTTAATGGCCGATCTCTGCTTTTACGCGAACCACGACCGCACAAGCCGCTTGGCCGCGTCTGTGAGGACCGCCTTCTAGATTGACGCGAAGTGACCTCCGATATTCTAGATGTCGCTTTGTGGTACACCCGGCCTTTCTCGAAGCAGCAATTGGGACTGCATATAACTCGGCGGCCGGGAGATGGGGGGGAGAGTACAGATTACACCAGTGCAGAGAGGAGTGGAGTATAGTACAGTCAATGGCGACATAAGAATTAGTCAGACAAATAGTGGTGCAAATAAATGTTTTATCAAGTTAAATAAATTAGTGCATTTCTTTTTGTGGAATACAGTGTTTTAATCCACACCCAAAAGAACCCAGAAAAACGCTACATTAACTTGCATTATCTAGCGGCTTCTATATAAAACGACTTTGTAGCCCTGAGAATTGTATGTGCATATGGCCGAGATGTCGCAGAGCTACACTACCGTTCAAAGGTATTTGAACACCCAGAAAACAAGGGCACTGATGGAAGTTATTAAAGAAAAAAATTGAATATCTGTATGAAACACTTATTTTCTTAATTCTTAACAACTTGCAACTATTTATAATCAAAATAATCGTATTTTTAACTCATAAATATGTCCTCCTTCACTTTTAATTACAGCCTGGCAAATGATGGGTAAACGCGCAACTCATTTTTCTAAAGGGTCATCTTTTGCCATTCGTAATATTCGGCATAAGTCTTCTTGTCTGTCCAATTCATCCCACAATAACTCTATCGGATTCAAATCCGGGGATTGGCGAGGCCATTGCATTATTTCAAAATATGATTATTTACAGAGCTTGGATGTGTGCTTGGGGTCATTATCATACTGAAAGATAAACCCCGGACCAATAAGATGAGTCGCAGGAGGTACAACATGGTTTTGTAGTATGGCTTTGTAACCTTCTTTATTCAGTATTCCCTATACTTTCACAATATCCCCCAGAGCGGAATCACAAATAACATTTTTTCAGCTTAGAACCAAAGAAAAGCTGATCTGATATAACAAGATGATGTATAAATGGTCCCCACGATATGCAATATAAAAGTTGGCACTCCCCTGTTATGCCGGCAGTCTGACGTTATGAATATTAATGCCGTTCCGTTGTGTAGGCATCATCGCGGATACAGAACAATGAATGGGCTTCCTAAAGCCGTATATCCATCTCCTCCAAATGCATAGGGTGAGCCCTATATTACCTTTCCTCGCCCCACGCCATGACAAAGCTGACTGGATCATCTTATTGCTATAAGAATAATAGAGCTTTGCTATATCTGTTGAGATTATGAGATTAATACAGCCTCTGTGTCTGACACCCAAGGTCAAATTTATTCGTTTACTAAGAAACTCGAATAATCGGAAAGAAGGAAACTTCATCCCCAGAGTTTCAATTAAATGCTAAAATAAAGAAACAGCTGTCCGAGGACATGCGCGAAATGCAACTTGTATTTATTCCATGCCCTTTTACGAAATAAAGAAAAATTAATAAGTGCTCAGACTATACTAAGATTTTGTTTAATGTGTTAAATACACTGAAGTCAATTGCCATGAATTTCGTACTACCATATCATCAAATTCAGTCGTTCAAACTATCCTGTCATTTGATCGTAGAAGCTTATTCGGAATTACTCGAACCTCTAAAAGAGCTCACAGTTTTGAGGCGGTATTGTCTGCAACGTTTTTCAGCCACGAATCTAGCGGCGCCTTTGTACCTCGATATTACCAGCGCCAGCGATCCAGTCATACTCAGATAGGGTTTGATCGTTTGTAAATGTAAGTTTTAAGGGCAAATGATGAAATCAATGTAAGAAATGTATCTAATAGATGCGTGGAATTACCGGGGTTGGAAGTGTATTAGCTTACATCAAATAATTGAGTTACACCCTCCCCCATCTCCTACAACCCCCTCACTCTCCAATTATTCATCCTTGAAAAATCAGGATCCTCTGAAACGTCATTATATTTTTTTGGTTCTTGGCGGAAGCGCCACTGGACCAATTTTTGTAAAAACTACAAAATTCCATCTAAATCCGAGCAGTTATTTACAAGTTATATATAGGCCAACAATAAGCGAAAATAAAAGTAGATAAAACTCACGCTTGAAGTTCCCGTTCGCCTGTTCTGGATTGTCTCCAATGTTCTATATTTCTTAATATTGTGTTAGGTATGAAACCTTGTTAGCAAACCTCAGATTGAGATTTGCCACATATAAAAAACAACTGAATTGGAAAAAATCGCACAAAAATCCTGGTTTCCTAACGTTGAGGTACATAGCCTTTCGTAACGCCGATGACTATTCTAATGGGTTGTCCAATAGGGACGCAGGAAAGTAAACGTCAATTTGACATATACGCCATCTTTGTTTTCTGTCACCGACATGTCATTTTGTTAGTTGAATGTTTACCATTAATCGCTATGAAGTCGAATTCGATTGAAGACCGCATTAAAGTTATTCAAGAGCACTACAAAAATGGTGCAAAAATAAAAAACACGTTTCGCGCGCTTCGTGAACATTTCGGTCGCAACAACCGCCCAAACGAAACAACCATCGGTCGTCTGGTGCGTAAATTCGAGGCAACAGGTTCTGTGGCAAATCTGCCAGGCTCTGGCCGGCCAAGGAGCGTTCGCACACCGGAAAATATTGCTGTTGTGAAGGAGAGTGTGAGAGACGATCCGAACAATCAACAACGCGTCGATCCCAAGAATTGGGCATTTCGAGAACCAGTTTGCTCCGCATTCTCCACAAGGATTTGAATGTACACGCCTACAAGGTCCAATTGACGCAATAGCTGCGTCGGGCCGACTATTTTTCGCGCCGAACGTTCTCAGATTGGCTCCTTGAACACCGCCAAATTGATGCCAATTTTTCATTAAAAATCATGTTCAGCGACGAAGCACATTTCACTTTGAATGGGACGGTAAACAAACAAAACTGCCGCATCTGGGCGAACGAAAATCCCGGTGAGTATCAAGAGCATCCGATGCATCCTCAAAAAGTGACCGTGTGGTGTGCATTGTGGTCAAAAGGCATCATCGGACCTTACTTTTTCGAAAATGCGGCCGGGGATGCCGTTACCGTCAATTCTGAGCGATATCACGTGATGATAGAGGACTATTTTTTGCCGCAACTTGAAGGAATGGATATGGACGATGTTTATTTCCAACAAGACGGTGCAACATGCCACACAACCAACGTCAATATCCATCGATTGCAGTCCTTCTTCGGTGATCGCGTGATTCCGCGCAGAGGAAATGTGCCATGGCCACCAAGATCGTGCGATTTGACTCCCTTGGACTTTTTTTTATGGGGATATTTGAAAAGCAAAGTCTACGTCAACAAACCAACCACCCTCCAAGAACTGAAAAACAACATCATTGCCGAGATAAATGCTATAGAACCGACCACGTTGCAAAATGTCATTGAAAATTTCGACCATCGCGTGGACGTCTGTAAATCCAGTCGTGGTGAACATTTGAGCGATATTATTTTTCATACATAAATAGTATAAATGAGCCTTCAAAATAAAGTACCCAACTTGATTTGAATATCAATCTTTCTTGTTTTAATATGCGTTTACTTTCCTGCGTCCGTTTTGGACAACCCCATATATCAACGCTTACCGATAAAAAGATCTGCCCTCATTCAACTTGAGCTGCTTTTTGCAGTCCACAGAGACCAACACATTTTTTGGCAATTTTCTATAACACTAGAACAGTATGGAAACTCTCACACTACTTAAAGCTTCTCCAGGAAAATACGGATTTAGTGGGAAGTGTCAACAACTAGTAATCTGGTATAGTAAGTACTTCCATTCACAAGAGCATGAAGCATTCGGTCCTTTCTTGCTAACTTGTCTACTACATCCATCAACGAATCAACTTGACAGCTTTTGCAGTGAGAACAAATATTTTGCCCGAAAATAAAAAGCAATGTATTCGTATCACCCGTGTCTGAATATTTTAAGCATGACCTTCTTAAATATATGATTCCTCTGAAATAAGAGCTAACAGCTGCCATCCCCTCATCTGTGCTGTTCGCAATCAAGCGATGACTGGAAGATAAAGCGTCCCGGGTCTTAATTGACATAAAGCGGCTCCCCACCATAATTCCGTAATGTTATTACATGGTATTAGCAGATTATGGCGTTTATTTAGCGTCACAGGGACATCTTATTGGCAATTTTGGATGTTTGTTTAGGGCTCTCGGTTGACGGAGCTCGCCCTATATTTCTTATTTAAGCGTCTGGTGGCAAGCTGTTATAAATTTAATAACGGAGCATTTGGTTATTATTGCCGACGTTGGATGACCTACTTCATTCGAATTTACGTCATCATTCTGCAACAATGTCAAAACCGCTACAAATAATGTTGTTCAGTAGCTCTGTCGACTGATGTTAGTTATACCCCTGGCAGGAATTTATAAAAGTGTTCTGAGTCATCACCGGTTGGACATCGAACAACGGCTAAGCCATCGCAGAAGGGGGACTGTTGTAGCTTTTGATTCACCGTGTGATTAAAATGTATAAAAAAATTGAGGTCACGCATAATAAAAAATTGTACAGCGTCACTGAGAACTGTGGTACCATTTCCACGACACAACGGCGATGCGTTCATCTCTCAGAGCCCTTTTTTAAAATACGGAGTTTAGACGCAGGATTAGCCTCATTCTATGGCAAAAATAT